TCTGGTCGACTGCAGCAACATTTCCTGGTCGATGGTGGCGGCATCCCTTGGTTAGTCTGTCCATCCTTACACATATCCCCTTGTCTCTCTCCATATTTCTTGTTTGGACCACCTCCTTTTCATCGGGGCTACTCGTGCCTTGTAGAAATAACTCTGGCACCCATGGAGCTAGCCACTCACAAACCTCAAGCATGGTAACCGAGCCTAGCTGAAGCTCGAAACCATGATGTGGGGTCACTACGTTGGGCATGCCCTTAGTAGTCTCATGTCTTTGGGAGAAAAGGAGGTCCAACCACTAGAACAATAAAAGTTTACATTCAAGTTCCTGCATAATGTGGCCTTTTTTTACACCGTTTGAGTGTCTACTTATGTTCATAACCTTCTCTTTATAAGGACAGGGAAACAACAACAATTTTCATCAGCAAGAAGTTGTATATATCTTCTCTACCCATATATGACCATCTTAATAAAGGCAAGGTTGTTCCTTATTGGTTGAATATGGATGGAGAAGAAGATTATACAACTTCTTGTTGATGGAAACTATTGCTTCTTCTCTCTTCTTATAATGAGATGGTTGTTAAGAGCATTAGGAGACCACCACTGATGTAAGAAAAGCCACATGTTGTATACATTAGAATCTAATCTTTGTGTTTCTTTCATGTTTGGATCTTTTCTCCCCAAGATATAATATCACAGATATAACAAAATAAAAATGTAAGAAATGTGATATTTATTTTGTTATCAACATAAGTGATATCTGTTCTCTCATTGAAATGAAGGTGCATAAATTTGTCATTGGCCTTCTTTTTCAATCCTTAACAAGTGCACCCCTTCTCTTAAAGGGGGAAATTAGACCTTTACCACTTAATTGTGTGTGAATTAAGTACTTTTCACTTGATGGAAGTTAATTTATTTAGTGTATTGCCCAATCTATCCAACTGTCATGCACATCAAAAGCAAAAACACATGCTTTGATCGGTAGCGCGTGGTGGGAGGCAAGTGTGGGCCCCATGCAAATGTGTCCCATGCAAATGTTGGAGGAGGGCAGAGTTATGCACTGGGTACATGGTGCCTCGCATGAGTCCCATGGTGTGAAGACGTCACGGATGACATTCATTTTCTAGCATTTTTCTAAGAAAAAATCTATAAGAAGTTGAACATCTTTGTAACAAGGTGGCAGTAGGTGAGAAAAGCCTATAGGGGTTGAGCCGTGGCACCCCGTGCATAATGAAATAATACATGTTTTTTTTTTTATTATGGATGTGGTCCCTACATGTTTAAGGTGGCACTCGGTGAGTTAGAGAGGAAGGGGTTGAGCCGTGGCACCAGTGAATAAGAAAATTAAGACGTGTCGTTTATTATTCTAGTGGTGGTCCCTATATGTTTAAGGTGGTAGTAGGCAAGAAAGAATGACATGGGTTTAGTTGTGGCCTCAGTGAATAAAGAAACAAGAGTTGTTTATTATAATGGCAGTGTTCACAACATGTTTAAGGGAAGAGTCTAACCACCGTGAGAAAAATAGACTTGAGCATATGGGTAGTGTGACATTTCTTTGGCTCCAACAAGGCATTCTATTACTCATGCTCTATCATTATCATCTGTATAACGAGGAAGGGCAACATATTGTACCACATTAACCTATTTTCTCCTAGCCGCTTTAGGTTCTCAGTATGCCCGCTGCCTTGGCCACCCGCTTCTCACCTTTGAGTCCATGGATCACCAGCACAACCACCGCCTTGCATAGTGTATTTTACTTCCCCTAGTGTCCCCTACTTTGATACACTCACAATGTTAACTACATTCTATTTTGCAAATAGTGTTAATAACATTTTTTGCCAGATATTGTGCTTATTACTTTTTTTTGCCCAATACAGTGTTAGTTACACCTATTTTGCACATATAGTGTTAACCATTTAGCATTATCATCAAAACTGAAAGAATATAGTACTTTGATTAACATGCAGAAAAATGCTTATTTCTTTTATTTAATTAAAAGGATTGCAGTGTGCATATAATTAACATGACTTATTATATGTTCGATTGAACATATGCATATTACATGTCTTGACATGCAAGCCTACATAATATCCCAAGCAGCGTCCAACTTAGTGAAATTAGTTATGACATGTTTTTTAGCTTTGGTTTGCACACACTAAACAAGTTTATACACCAAAATAAATGATTTACAAGTTCATGTACTAAATCGCACCCACCTCGCAAGTTCATGTACCAATAGTGCAATTTACTCATAAAGAAATAAGGTATGGTGAGTTGTTTATTGAGTAAATTGTACTGTTGGTACACGAACTTAAGAGATGAGTGCGATTTAGTACATGAACTGCAAATTGCTTATTTCAGTTCATAAACTTATCTAGTATGTGTGAACCAAAGCCAAAACAACATGTCGTAACTAATTTCACTAAGTTGGACACTAATTAGGATGTTATGTTGGCTTGCATGCCAAGATGATGTTGCCTAAATATGCATATGTTCAATCAACATTCAATAAGTCATGTTAATTATACATATTAGAAATGTACATGTCTTCAGGACAAAATGTCCAACCACTGGAGAACTAAATGGTTACATCTATGTGCATGATGTGGCATCTTTTTGGTTTTTCACACCGGTTGGTTGTATACTTGTATGCTTGCTTTAATAACCTTATCTTTACAAGGACAGGTAAGCAGCAACAATTTTCATCAACAAGAAGTTGTATATCTTTTCTCCCGGTCAACGACAATCTTGATAAAGACAAGGTTGCTTCTTGATGGTCGATGATGGGTAGAGATGAAGATGATACAACTTCTTGTTGATGGAAACTATTACTTCTTACCTCTTCTTATAATGAGAAAGTTGTTAAGAGAACTAGGAGACCATCATTGATATAAGAAAAGCCGCATCATGTGTACATTAGAATCTAACCCGGGGAAATCCCCTCTGCCTCTCCTCCTCCTCCACCCACCCTCCTTGCACCGTGACCCCAACCTCAAACCCTAACTAGTCAAGGCCACCACCAGATATTGCAGTCGAAGAGTCGTTAGAGTTGCTGGTGTTGGCATATTTGGGGGCGAGACCGCGAGAGGCTTGGCGCATGAATCTTCAAGTGAATTGGATGTATAAAATATCATAAAACTTCTCCTTCAAAATTTTTTTTTGTCAAATGTTAGTTCACAAATCCAAAATTTTAAGTAGAATATAAATCTCAATCCTTCACAAGCATTGCCCTTCTCATATTGTAGGAAGTTAAATATTACCTCCTAATAGTGTGTGATTTAAGAATTCTCCACTTGATAGAATTTAACTTTAACTTAATATATTGCCACTTTGCTTCTTAATTGATTATTTTCATCGTATTTTACCTTCCCCTGATCACCTGGCCAACTAGCAGTGATGAAGCATCATTCTCTCAGCCAAAGAAAAAGGAATTGTTTCTATTTCCTTTCTCCCGGGCCCAAAGGATGTAGTGACACAACCAAAGTGTTAATTCAATCAAAGTGTTAACTACGTACATTTTGTTTTGCAAATTGTGTTAATGACATTTTAGCCCGATATTGTGCTTATAACATTTTCTGGCCAATACAGTGTTAATTCCATTTATTCTGGCCATATAGCATTAATCAAAGCATTATCATGAAAACTGAAATAACATAACACATTGCGATTCTTTTATTTAATTACATGCAAATAATCACTGCATATCCTTTCTTCATCTGGGGATGCATGTGGCACGCGTGAGCCTAAGCTTTTTGTCAACCCCATAATCAAGGGACACCAGTGAACATTTGTAAATTCCATTATAAATTAGTGTTTTCGTAGCATAGTTGTGATGTGATCCCATGGAGTAATATTGGTGACATCAATGGTTTCTTATCGTAGTTCTGCCATTATTGTTACTTCTATTCTTTAGTATGTTGGGGTCTCTATCCCACCAATGGATAAATGAACTTGCATTATAGAATTACACTCTAAATGAAGCTAATAGTGAAAGGGCATGTAGCTTAGTGGTTGTAGTGAGCCAGTGACCTGAGTAGCACCCCAAGGTCCTAAGTTCAAATCTACATATAGGAACGAATTTTAGATTGGGTTATTTGAGAGCTAAGTTACCTGTTCGATAGGCTATGTTCCTAATTTAAAAAGGCTGCATATATCCGATTGTATACAGAGGCCGGGTAAAAATACCCTTCTCTAATAAAAAAACATAAAAAAGTGAAGCTAATAAGAAAAAAAACCTAATTAACCACTGCTTTTGCGCTGTTTTTCTAGTTAACACTGCTTTTGTTCCTAACACTATATTTCTTTTTATAATGAAATTTAATTCCGACCTTTCCTTTATTAAAAAAAGGTACACCCAACCGTCACAAAGTATATATGCACAAATAAGACTGAAAAACATTTCGGGATATCGCACGGAGTCTAAAAACCAAAACGCCACACATATATCGGATTAAAAAAAACACCAAATAGACTAAGACATTATTAATAACATTTTCTTTTACTAAACCTCCATACAAGGTTGACGAAAAATACATAACCAAACTCCGATGTACAAACTGTATTATGTCCTTTTGTTCCTAACACTACATATATAGTTGCACAAATTTTGATAATTTGACCCTTCGTAAAAACTAATTTTACAAATGAACCACGGCCAAAACTTATTTTAGAAATGATCATTTTGTTCAGTGCCGAATCATATGGCGCTGAACTTAGACACCTCAGCGCCACGTCAACTGGCGCTAAATGCTGTGCCACCGCGGATGGGAGACTGAGTCGGCGTGCCAACGTGCATTCAGCGCCATGCTATTTGGCGCTGAGGTGTCTAAGTTCAGCGCTATACGATTTGGCGCTGAATAAAAGGATCATTTTTAAAATAAGTTTTGGCTACGGTTCATTTATAAAATTAGTTTTTGCAAAGAGTCAAATTGTCAAAATTTGTGTATATAGCTGTCTCTAAATAACACTGCTTTTGTTCCTCACACTAGGTAATTGACATGAAATATAGACATCTTTTTGTTCATTGCATTAGGCCAATGAAATCGAGTTCAACAGAGCCGAGCCACAATTTCCCGCCCCTCTCCACAACCTCACTGAGCGTCACACCCTTGGCAGCCGTCAGCTCCTCGACCTCGACGCCATCGCCGTCGAGCCGGACGCCGACGAGGTGCTTCGCCGGAGGAGCCACCGCCGCCGCCGCGGTGGCGTCGAGCCGCGCCTTCTCCTGGTTGAGCGCCACCCAGTATCCCCCATTGGCGTCTCGCCGGACGTTGTCGGGGTAACCCGGCAGGTCGGCGAGGAGCTCGTACTCGCCGGCGTTGGGCCCCTTGATCCAGTACCGGAACGCCTGGCACGGCACCGTGTGCGCCACCACGGCGTGGCTCCCGTCGCGGCTGACGGCCACGCCATTGGCGTACGGAAGCCCGGCCCTGAGCACGGTCACCCGCTTCGTCGCCGCGTCGTACTTTAGCAGCCGCGCCGTCGCATCGGCATTCATCATGATCTCGCTGTTAAACCTGCATCCACATGAACACACAACTCTTGTTAGTGAGATCATCAGGAAGTGGATTTTCATTCCTCGAGAGAATATCCCCTTATTTTACGTATACCACTAATTAAAGAAGTTATAAGAAAATTTAGAAACTTTTGATAAGATGGATCAATATGAGATATGTTACTATATAAACAAGTTCAAATTCAACATATATAATTGTAAAAAAAATAATGAATATTTTGACTACAAATATTATGTGTTATTTGCAATTAAATTTGTTATTTTTTTTACTTGTATAAATTAAATTTAAACTTGCACGATTGTGTGAAGTGATATATCTCATAATGATTATATCAATTTTTTTATAGAAAAAATAGTGGCTATTTGAATTACTTAAAAAACTTAGGGATGAAAACACTTTCCCAAAAGATCACGTTGTTGCTACGCATTGCATACACATTTGCATGTTGCAAAAATGATTTGATTTTAATTTGGATCGTGTTCTTTTGGTAATTACCGGCGTGGGTAGGTGGTGCTACTATCGGTGAAGTAGACATCACCGGTGGCCTGGTCGACGTCGATGCCATTGACGAAGTTGAACGGGACGCCGTCCGCGCCGGCGGCGAGCACCTCGGCCTCGCCGCCGCGCGGCCCGACACGCATCAGGCCCTTGTACGCGTCGGCGATGTAGAGGTCGCCCGTCCTGTCGTGGAACGCGAGCCCCAGCGGGCGCCCGCACATGCTCTCCGTCTCCTCCGCCGGCGCCACCGGCGTCGTGCACATCGGAATCTTCCTGCACGCACACGGTCGAACCATCAATGTCAATCGATCAAGAACGCGATGGAGTGGAGATTTTTCATTTTCTAGATTTTTTTATATTTTAATTTCATTAATAGACTTTTTGAAAAAAAATATTTTCAGAAACTAAACCTCCAGTGGCTCGCGTGGCAGCGTTGTTTTACCACGCCAGCTCCTCGTGACGTGACAAGGTTATATGGCCATGCCAGACGGGATGGCGGGATCAAAAGTTTATATTTAACAATACTTTTTGAAAAAATCTATTAATAAAATTGAAATTGAAAAAAATAAAAAAAAGTCTAAAAAAAATTGATGGAGTGAGGTGGTGTGTACTTTACCGGTAGTTTTCGTGGTGCGCGAAGGTGGTCCAGCCGGCGGCGGCGCCGCCCCAGCGGAGGACGCGGCCGTCGGAGACGCCGGTGTAGGGGCCATGGTTGGAGGAGTCGAAGGCGAGGCTCTCGGCGCCGGTGACGCCGTCGGGGAGCGGGAGGTGGAACGCGAACTGCGCGTGCGACGTCTTGACCTGCTGCGCGGCGGCGCACGGCGGCGCGGCGAGGAAGAAGGCAAGAAGCAGGCAGCCGACGAGCCGCAGCAGCGTGACCAACGTCGCCGGAAAACCTCGACGACGGCGAGCCATGGCTGATCAACGTTGATGGTTTCGATGGAGATCAGCACGCACGACAATCTGTACTGCTTTTATTGGGAGAGATCACACGGCCTAATTCTAATTCAAGTCGGTATACGACTGCACTTGTGTACAGCTCGATCGACTGGTGGCGAGTCCGATTGCTTCGACCGATTGATCCGGCCGCCAGAGTCGATTACGATTAGAATTTCGCCGGTCGCCGGCGCTGCGTTCCGACGACTAATTGACAACCCTTGCAATCAGATCTTTGTTGATTTTTCCTTTTTTTTTTCCTACCTTACTGTTATGTTAGGCTAGGTATATGTTTGAAGGCTTTCTTCCATGCATCCTTGAAGAGGTATATTATACCTTCTCACAATTTGAGAGATAAAAATAACTTGTTAAATTGATTAGAAAACAAGTTTTTATTAGCACCAGCAATACTTTTCTGGTCATTGTGAGGTATAGAGAGTATATGTATCTTATAGTGTTAGTCCGGAGGTAGAAATACGTACCTCTTAATTGGCACATTAATATCTATACACAAATTAGTGATGATATGTTGCATATGCATGTACCAGTGATGATACCTATCAGGTATCAATGGTGGTACAATAGATACGGGGATATGGATACATGTACGCGATATGGCAATACCAGAATATGTGGCATTTTTCAAAAGATAATACGGGATATGTTTATATATATGAATTAAATATAGAAATTATTTACTACAATCACCGTAGTTGATAGCTTCAAGTCCACTATGTTTAAAAAAAAGCTTTAAGCCCATTAACTGTGTATAACTAATAAGAGATTAAAACCAAGCCGCCAGTTGACAACAATCAAAAGAAAAATCCGTGGAATCAACGGTTGCTAGATGCAGTAGCACTTAGCTTCCAGTTCCTAAATCCATCGGATCTAATAAAAAGATAGTTCTTGTACTGAGAACATAATTAAGAAGGCAATTACACAGTCATGCAGATTCATTTTTATTTTTTTTAAAAAAAAAGGCATTGCAGATCAAGAATGGAAGGCTAGAAGAGGAGCAAAGGAAACAAACAACTTGATGGTGTTAGGGTTGTGTCTAGTGACCGGCGTCAAAGGGACTGTGTTGGGCAGCGGCGACCCTAGTCCCTTGGGCATGCCGGTGGAGGAGTTGCATCTAGCCTGTGGGTATATACTGCCATGCTGCCCCTAAAGATGGCATAGGGCAAGGAGATGTCGCACTGTGCACAACGATGGCGCGGGAAAGGTGATGTGCGGTTGTGCCCGATGGCGGCAACAACGCTGCAGCATGTGGAGTGCGTCGGTACACCACAAGATTTTTGAGGTCGACATTGGACGTATCAATGTTGTATTAGAACTTAGAAGTGTATCCAAATTATTTTATTTATTTGAATTAAAATCATAAAACTGATGATACATACGTATCTGATAGAGATACTAGACTTGAGGGACATATCCAGGTAATGTAGGCGATATGTAGTTACCAGTGATGATACTTATTAGTTATGATACTTTCGAGGATGGTACCATGATAGTACCTTCATAGTTTCAGTATCATGATATCACGTGGTATCATGATATCTAGTATGTAGCACTGTAGTTATTTGATATCTCAAGGTACCATTAAAGTATCATTAATAACTCAGGCAGGTAGGCCCAACTAGTGTGGAAACACGCACATCAAAAGCAGAAACAGAAGCTTTAATCAGGAGCGTGTGGAGAGAGAGAGAGGCGTGGACCCCATATGGATGCTTGGTAAAGGCGAATGTGGCCCTATGTTGGAAGAGGTCAGAGTCATGTGATGGGTGCTCGCACGAGTCCCATGTTGCATGGACGTCACGAATGGCATCCTATTTCAAGCATTTTTCTAACGAGAAATCTATAAGTAGTTGTAACCAGTTTGCAACTAGTTGGTAGTAAGTGATAAAAGGCTGCAGGGGTTTAGCCATTGCACCTGTGAATAAAGAAATAAGACAAGTTGTTTATTGTTCTAGAAATGCCCCGTAAATGTTTAAGGTGGCAGTAGACGAGGAAGAGAGCAAGCGGTTGAGACGACTCGTGAATAAGAAAATAAGATGGTTTGCCTATTAGTCTTGTGTTGGTCTCTGCATGTTTAAGGTGATAGTAGGTGTGAAAGAACAACAGGGGTTAAGTCATGTTACCCAAGAATAAAAAAAAAAAGAAGAGTAGCTTATTAGTATGCCAGTGGTCCTAACGTGTTTAAGCGAAGCATCTAAAGAGCCGATGAGAAAAATATAATTGAGCACATGTGTAGCGTGATATTACTTGGCTCCAACGAGGCCTTCTACTACCTATGCTCTATCAACATTTCCTATATAACGAGGAAGAGCAACACATTCTACCATACTCACCAATCTTCTCATAGATGCTTAGTTTCTCAATTACGCTCACTTTCTAAGCCACCTGCTTCTCGTCTTTGAGCCCACGGAACACTGGCACAACTGCTGTCTTGCCACCCTACGATTGGTTTGGTGCCTCCTCTTGCAATTCCTCTAATCGTGAGTAACCTCTTGTTTATCCTACTCATGCAAGACCATGTCCCGACATAGAACCTTAATTAGGGGGGGGGGCTCATTAGAGAAAACGAGGATATGGCTCCTCACACAAGCTTCCTGATGCAACCTTGGTGCTTGCAGTGGACATACATATTTTAGAACCAGTGTTACTAAACTCTCATAATCTAGGTATTCAAATAAATCCAACTTTTAGACAACTATCGGTAAGGTATTAATTCCTGATGCCACAATACTAATCACCGTGCATGCAACCATGAGGGAAATTGTCTCTAGGTACCATTTATAGGCTACACACCTACGTAATGGATCATTTCCGCTTTCAAACTGATAGATGGAGGCAATTCAAACCGGTGCTAATTAAATGTTTAGAAAATGGTATAACACCGTAATATGTGAATAATTATATTCCTTCCATTCATCACCATTCTATACTAAATATCCCTCATTTTAGAAACTACTGAAAAGCGAAACTACTGAAAAGTACAGTGAAGTGGACATTACAACTGGCATTCAACAAGTGCTCTACCCTTCAAGTGCCATATTTTAATCCGGCTTAAGGAAGGATATGTGGTCGCTTGTGTGTGATTAAATAAAAGGATTGCAATGGATTGTGTATATACAATTTTAATGATAACAACAAACACTATAAATGTAAAAGAAATTGAATTAGCATTGCATAAATGTAACTAAGATGTATTGGCAAAAAAAATTGACTAACAATATTGTGATAGCATAAAAATGTACATAGCACAGGGTGTTAATTTTTATTTTGCAAAGTGTCAATGACATTTTTGCCTGATATTGTGCTTATCTCATTTTTCTGCCAATACAATGTTAATTCCATTTCTTGTACACATATAGCATTAATCAATATGCATTATCATCAAAACTAAAAGAATATAACACATTGAGATTCTTTTATTTATTACATGCAAACGACCACATGTCCTTCCTTTGGCTGGATAAGCATATGTGGCATGCAACCCTAAGCCGAGCTCACGAGCCTGAGCTTTTTGTCCACCTAGTCACAGCAGGCCAATGAAATTTGTAAATTCCATTATAAATTGATGGTTTTCACTCCATATTTGTGAAGTGATCCATGGATAGTAGTGACACCAATGGTTTCTCATCGTGGCTCAGCTCTTGATACTTCTAAGTGATTTTAGTGGTTTCATCGTAGCATGTTAGGGGTTTATCCCACCACTAAGTGATCTTATTTTTATTTTCTTGGGTATATCGTGATATAGAAGACAGGATGTACAATATGTTCCTTTATAAAAAAAAACACAAGTAGTTGCAATCCCTTGAAAACTTGATGGCGGTAAATGAGAAACAACAGCACAAGTTAAGCCATGGCTCCCTTGAATAAAGAATAAGACGAGTTGCTATTTTTTTTTAAGTTGTACATATGTGTTGAAGATGATAGTAGGTAAGAGTGACAGGAGTTATGTTGTGCTTCTTGTGAATACAGAAATAAGATGAGTTGTTTGTTATTTTAGTTATCCCTACATGTTTAAGGTGGTAATAGGAAAGAGCAGCATGGGTTGGAGCGGTTCCAATGAATAAAGAAAGCATGGTTGTTTATTAGTCTAGTAGTGGTCCTTACATGTTTAAATGAAGGGCCCAACCACTACCCAAAAAAAATAGGCTTGAGCATATAGGTGGCGTTGACATTTCTTTTGGCTCCAATAAGACCTTCTTCTACTTGTGCTCTATCAGTATCCATTCCCTATATAAGGGGAAGGGTGATAAATTATGTGCATAGCCAACTGGCCCACCCAACTTCTCCTAGCTACTCAAGTATTCTTATGCATGTTGCCTCTGTGACCGTTTCTCATCTTCGAGCCCATGGATTCACCAAGACAACTACCGTCTTACCATCCCATCACTGGTACAGTGCCTCCCCTTGCGTCTCCCTGAGCCAAGGGAACCTCTTGTGAGAGAATACAATGATGTGTCTATACATGTGAACTTGCCAAGACAACTGTGGCGGTGCATGCATCTCCGTAAAATATAATAGAGAGGGAGAGGTACTTGCGATGGATTGATAAAGTAGGTGAATATCAAATAGCAATTCCCAATTCTTCATTCATTTGGTAAATACTTCATATACTTCTAAAATTTTATCATGCCTTTATTAAACCACTAACTGTCTTAGTGACGCGAAAGTACATAGACCTGGCATGTCTTACATTTATTATGTTAGTGGTATGATGCTTTTGAATAAAAGGTCCAACCACTAGAGCAATAAAGGTTACATTCAAGTGTATGCATGATGTGGAATCATTTAACACCGGTTGGGTTTCTAGTTATGTTATTAATAACCTTCTTTTCATAAGGACAGGGAACCATTAGCAATTTTTATTAGCAAGAAGATGTATATCTTCTTCTCTATCCATCTAGGAATAAAGGCAAGGTTGCTTCTTGCTGGAATGCTGGTTGAAGACTTGAAGATGGATAGACAAGAAGATTTGTGTTTTCCCATGCTTGGAACTCTTCTCCCCAAGACAAAGGACAGCTGATAGAACAAAATAAAAATATAAGAAATGTGATCTCTACACCCTCATTTTTATGAGAAAATTACTAGCACAATAATAAGAGAATGGTAAATTTAATGTAAATATGGCATTCGCTTGCTTTCTCAATCCCACGCAAGTGCCTCCCTTCTTTAAAATGGGAAATTAGATACTTACCATTTAATAGGGTGTGACCAAGAATTTCCCGTGTTGATAGAAGTTAATTTACTTAATATATTGCCACTTTGGTTAATTAATTTCGCCACATTTCACCTTCTCCAAGCTACGTCACCTTTTCTATTTCCCAAATTGCCCCCACATTGGCCTGGCCAACTAGCAGTGATGAAAGAACCGTTCTCACAAGTGAATCATGGCACTTCAGTTTATTAACTGCAATACTAAGATTTAAAAAAAATGCTACATAACTAAATTGACATTCAGACAGTGGAAAATAAACAAAAATCAAGAGAATCTCTATTGCCAGGAAATGCTGGATAGCACTGTTGTTCAATAGGCTTTACAAGATGTTCTTATAAAATGTCATATGAGAATTGTATATATTTTTGTTCAGAGCTCCATCGTGGCATCCTCTTGGTGTTAAGCCAAACAAGACCAATATCTCACTCTTCCAATTACCAACTGACTGGAGTCTCAAGCAAAACTGTTTCATGTGAATCTTCAATCCAAACCAACTAATGTCAGAAACTCAGAATATCGAGATGAACGAAGTTATTTAGCCATGGGTGACTAAAAACACGCTTGATCGTAGTCTCACATGAAATGTTCGCATGCCAACTTCTGAATATCTAGTGACAGTTTGTGAACTATATGAACTGCGGGTTCTGAATATCCGATTGATCTAATCAGAGTCTGCCTCAGAAATAGCTGATTTGTCATCTGGCATTTCATCAGAGCTACTCAACTGAGAGCACTCATCAGAAGCCCAGTCGCTTGATGCTTGTTCCTGATCACCGTTCTCGCTCTCAGCTCCTGCACTCTCTTCTTCGAGAACTGAAACAGATGTCTTCTGTGTATTATCCTGTATGGTTCCATTATAATCCTTTCCCCTCCAAACAATAATCTGCTCTTTGTCAAAAGAGACAATTATGCAAGGAACAAGGTCCTACAGCAAAACAGAAGGGAAGAAAATGCTCTGTTACGGATCGTCAAGGAAAATACACGCATTAATATATGCACATAATAAACTCACCCTGAGCTTGACTCCAATTTTCCGATAATCACTTTTTGGCAATCCTTTAGAATCTATCCGGACCAACTCATCAGTCAAAAAGGCATCCCGAACCATTGGAACAAGACTAGCGTAATACCCATTCTTGGCTGTGAAATAGCGCAGTTGTTAAGTCCTCTCTTCAACCCTACATATATGTAAGCGAAAAAGCGGTACAGCGTTTACCTAGCTTCGTCAAAACAGGAACATATAGGCCTTTCTTCCTCATTTCCTTTGTCTCCTCAACTGTCAGTCCTTCTATTGTTGTTTTAATTAGCCTCGGGTATACAGGTTCAGCTGGCTTCCACAGCATTAACGGAATAACAGGTCTTTTCTTTGGATTATAATGCCGTCCCCTGTACAATATCAACTGACCACCATGCCTGTGGATGATAAGGCCACCAGTTTTATCCTGAAAGAAGTGGGCACTACTCATCATGCTTTCTAATGGACAGAAATGTAACAATAAGCTAAAATCAAACAAAAGCTACTAAAATGGCATCAGTGTATTCACATTAGTACATGCAGGCAAAGATGATTCTTATTTATTAGACCCAACACAGATGAAGCTACCTCAAGCTGATGGCACACATTCTGCATATCAACCGTCGGCACGCCGAGGCATTTCACCCTGACCGCCTCGTCGTTCTTCCAGTGATTATGTATGTCATTTAGCATGTTGTGAGTGAGCCCATCTCTCCCTACAAAAATCACCACCCAATCGAATCATAATCATCATCACCACATCTTGAAATGGAGTAAAATTTACCAACTAAAAACAAGTACTCTTCTTTTTTTTTTTACCGAGATTGATCTGCTTCTTGGTGCGGCTCTTCTGGCACTTGCTAACCAAGAAGGCGCGCTCGGCGGGGGTGAGCGGCTCGCCGAGCACGCGCTCCCGCTCGCGGCGGCGCGCCTCCTCGAGCTCCCTCTCGGCGGCGGGGGCCGGGTCGTCGGCGTGGGCGTCGCGGAGCGTGGTGTCGACGGCGGGGGCGCAGAGGCCCGTCCATGGGCGGTCGAGGCGGCCGGGGCCAAACGGGGAGTACTTGGGCTCGCGGAGCCCGATGGGCTTGTCCCCCGGGGAGCTCTCGGTGTAGCTGAACCGGAAGTCGAAGGGGAGGTCGGAGCGCGCGGCGGGGCGGCCGCCGCGGTCCAGCGAGGAGGGTGGCCGGTAGGGGGGCTTCTTGGGGCGCCGCTTCTTGGCGCCGCCGTCGTCGGAGGCGGAGTGCGGGGTGAGGGAGGCGGGTGGCACGAAGCCGTAGCGGTCGAGGAGGCCGGAGAGGCGGCGGACGGAGGGGCGGCGCGGCGGGCGGGCGCGGCGGAGGAGGCCGGCGAGGAGGAGCATGGGGGGTGGATGGTGAAAGGGAGAAAAACCCTTTGCTTTCTCCTACCTCTGGCCGGTGGGTTTTTGGGTTTTTGTTGGGCTTTTTTGAATTTTGTAAGTCAAATGTTTCTCAATTCTTTGATCCATGAGAGGATTTGTTGTCATTTTGAAAGTAAGGCCTCGTTTAGTTCCAAAAACTTTTTTCCAAAAACGTCATATCGAATCTTGGGACACATGCAAAGAGTATTAAATATCGATAAAGAAAAAACTAATTGTACAGTTTGCATGAAAATCGCGAGACGAATCTTTTGAGCCTAATTAGTCCATGATTAGTCATATATGCTACAATAACTGACATGTGCTAATGATGGATTAATTAGGCTTAATAAATTCGTCTCGTGGTTTCCAGGCGAGTTATAGAATTAGTTTTTTCATTCATGTCCAAAAGCTCCTTTCGACGTCCGATGTGACAACCAAAAATTTTCTTTTCACAAACTAAACACACCCTAAAGCCATAATTTGGAACGTGAGAATTTGGCAGCTTGAGAAGTGCATTGTCTTATATACTATATCCATCCCAAAATATCCCAAAATATAGCAACTATTAACTATGAATCTGGACATACAGTTGTTCATATTCAGTAAAAAATGCTATATTTTAGGACTGAGGGAGTACTATTTTAATTGATAAAAAACCAGCACGTTTGAGACCTACTTCCTTCGTTTTAAAATAAACAAACTAATCCAGTACAATAAACAGCTATCTAGATTTATTGTATTAAACTTATGTTGATTTATTTTATGATGGAGGGAGTAAGAATTTGACAACTGAAAATCCACTGCGGATTCATGGTAGATATCCAACCGTGAACAAGTCTGTTTATGAACAGGACGTTTTATGTTGAGAAGCTATGTAACATATGCACCATAAAAAAAATATACGAACAAGACGAACCATTTGGTGTTCTCAAAAAAAAAAGAAAAAAAAAAGAAGAGAGACGAGCCATTTGGAGTTGCTGCACCCATGGCCGGAGCAAGTGAAGAAATAGGAAAATAGTTGAATTCAAACGGATTTATAAGTGCTAAATGGATGAACATATCTGAATGCTACTACATAGCTAGCCTAGAAGTCATCTTTCGTGATAGACACGGCGAAGGAAACAAGATTGCACAATCGACCCAAGAGAAAGAAATAAGTAATTTCTACCAAAGATTTCATCTGTATGCAGAAGGTACATTTGATTCAGAACTGGGTATCATTTGCAGTAAACACAATCATAATCAAATGTCCAAATAGAGTATACCAGTGAGGCCAACTGCATCATCCGAAAGTTCTGAACCTTTCAAAGAGGAGGCCAAAGTAATAATACCATGGTTTTTCCTTACATTTGGTACAAAATAGTTAGATGTCACCACCAGTCAGTACAATTATCACAGGTCCAGCAAACAGCCGCAGCAACCTTAATCCTAGCTGCTACCTTGTGAGCTTTAACATACTGGGATCTTGTTGCAACTTGCAAGCTTGCAGCAGCCACTCAGGACCAGGGTTTGACTTACCATCTGTAACCGCGCGGTTACCGCGGTTACCGGCCTTACCGCGGGGTATGGTAATAGAAAAACCACGGTAACCTCCTTAAATTTAAATAAATTTTAAAAATAATTTGAATTTTTAATATATTTTGCATGGTTTCGTACGGTTTTTCACAGTTACCGCGGTAACTGTGCTTACCGCCAGGGCACGGTAACCCCGGCCGCGGCGGTTTGTGAAACCCTGCTCAGGACACTAGTTCCTTGGGATCATGCCGTTTTCGGAGCACTGATATCCAAGGCAGCACATCAAGGAACCAATCAAGCAATATACATCAAAACATAGTTGTAGCTGGCTACATTGGGCCAATTGGTTGGTATGATAAAAATCACTCTTCCGACGGACAAGAACTAGCAACTACCAGACAAGAATTAGCAGCAAACTACCAGTGCGCAACAATCATGTCCGTCAAGTCAACAATCCACTCTGAGTTCCGATGGTCAAGTCAACAATCCACTCTGAGTTTCAATGAGGGCCAAGCTCTGAGGGCCCAAAATCAGGAGACGTTGGCTCAACCGGAAGAAAGTCTTGCTACATCCCAAAAGGGAGAAAGCCTTGCTACACCCCAAAAGCTACATCAAGAGGTGAGTGACTCCCCCCACTTTTAAGTTAGTTCAACTCTCTCTAAATAAACAATGTGTGACTATTCCCAACAAGCTCTACCTCCTGCCGTACTACTTCTATCTTCTGCCACTCCTCCCATCTCTCGGCAAGGCCATCACCTTCAAGCATCCTCACCACCTCCGCCATCTTAGGGCGTTCTGTGGGGGAGCCTTGTGTGCAAAGAAGAGCAACCTGGATTAGTGATTCTACCTCAACATCAATGTAGTTGCTCTGTAGATCTGGATCAACCAACATCTCCAGCCGTTTCTCCTTGAGTAATCCTTTTACCTGCACAAAGCACAGCACATGAATATTGGCTTACCATATAACAGTGTATTTCTCAGACGATGATGTTCAATCCTATGCTTAGCTTAGCTAATGCCATAATGATTAAAAAAAGGACTACTTTTAAGACCTTACTGTAACTACTATTTTTTATATGATACAATTTTGGACATACATAAAAGTAATTTTATCTAACTCCCAACACAACATCAAGCCACAAAAGGACATGAATATGGACTGCAATTCGAATTGAAGATTGTGCTAGTCAATTACCCAGTCCAGTAGCATGACGTCATCATCATTGGCTAGACGAGCAAGGTCAAAGGCACGTTGTCCTGTAATAAGCTCCAAAAGCATAATCCCATAACCAAATACATCAGTTTTCTCAGAGATAATTCCAGTTGAAAGATATTCTGGTGCGATATGCCCAATTGTTCCACGTACTGCATTTGGTTCATCGGTATCCATGTGATCCATTAGTTTGGCCAAACCAAAACCCCCCACTAAGGCTTCAAAGTCTTCATCTAATGAAATATTTGCAGCTTTGACATCACGATGGATAATCTTTGGGTCACAATGATCATGTAAATAGGACAGTCCCCTGGCGGAACCCAATGCAATCCTCCTCCTTGTTCGCCAATCAAGTGGAGGTTCATATGGCGGCCGTTCTATAATATAAAACCCAAATCAACCCTCTAATTATCTGAAAGATACAGGGATGTCAGACTAGAAAAAAAAAAGGCAACGTAACTCTAAGACGTGATGCAACGGTTCCATTAGACATGTATGGATAGACAAGGAACCTTTTTGTTGGCGTTATGCAGAATCCATGAAGACGCATCAGGTTTCTATGCACAGGCATCTCAACTTGTGTTTGAAAGTGCCATGTTCTCCAATCAATGTTTGGATAACCCATGCTTAAAGCCCGGCTTATATAATCCTTTTTAACAGCTACTAATGAGCCATCTCCTAGTCTTCCTTTGTACATGCTGCCGTCGAATCGACCACGTTGAAGAACATTGCTATCGCTAAAGCAATTTGTTGCATCTTCTAGTTCCCGTAGTGAAAAAATTTTATGCTGGCGAGGATAGGCCTCATCTGGACCCTGACCCTCAAACTCTTGACTTGTCTCACCCTGTTACACATGGCACAAAAAGAAAAATGAATGTGAGGATGATTATTATTGAGAAAACAGATAGCGGAACTTCGCTTCCAGTAATCCCTTCTTGGCAGCTACTGATTGCTTTGTATGATCCAATCTCACATTTTTTACTTATTAAAAGCATCAGGTGAGGTACGTCCTGCAAATGTTGGAAGGAAACAGGCACAGAGCCACAGCTCAAGAAAGAGAGCGACAAGCCAGGAGCGAATTAATTGTCCAATTAAACGATAAGATATTGCACTTTTGCAGCATCCAAGAAACAAATAGTAATAATAACAATAATAGGATTTGAAACTAAGACGATGAATTAACAATCAATGTCTCCAGGTCTGGTCAAGAACTTACCAATAAACAACTTCCATGATCATACTCTAAATGGAATCTGCTAGTTGGATGATTGGGAAGCTTCTCGATGGCAGCTTTGATTAGGCTAACAACAGACCTGGTGATGCTATTGTTCATATCTTGTTCTGGATCATAAATACCATCAGAGCAAATGTTGCCCCAAATACCGATCTTGACTTTGGTAAGGGCGGAGAGGTGCTGGATGCCGAAATCAGAAGCACCATTCAGGCAATCCATTCCATGTAAACGGAATTCCACTTGGAAGTTATCAAGCTTTGGCATTGATTCTGGTTCAAACTCTAGCAAGGTCCCACATCTCTTGATTCGTAATGAGAAATATGTCAGACTTCTGAATCCTTTGTTGCTACATATGATGATCCTTCCATTGATGCCACACATAGTTTTAAGTTTGAGAAAACACAAGCTGGGTATTGCGCCAAGGATCTCAATATCATTCGGTCCCATTCTATGGATCCAGAGTTGTAATTCAGTGAGGCTTCCAAGCGAGCTCATCCAGTTTGGGACCTTACGGATGTAACAGCCTATGATATGAAGCTTCCGGATGATGCAAGGACTAGGAGGGTACCACTTCTCCATGATCAGTGGGCCACCGGTCAAATATAGATGATGAAGGTTGCTAGATAGCAAAGCTGACACGTAATTTTGACACTCCTCAGCATCTGACCACCAAAAAAGATGAACTTTCAACGTCCTAAGCTTTGATAGCTGACTGAATCCTTGCAGAGACTTGCCTAGTTCACATGACACGCCAAATTCCTCTAGTTCTACCAGGCTATGCATCTTACCAATTAATCTGTCCGGAAATCTAGTCCCTCTTCCAACATATAGATTGGCCAGGCACTCAAGTTTTGCAATACTTAGCGGCAGTTCTAGAATTTCAGTATAAGATATGTCCAGTGTTTCTAGACAGTTCAGTTGTCCAATCTTTCTTGGGAGCTTAGTTATTAATGTTGACCGGAGAGATAAATACTTGAGAAAATGCAACTTTTCAATATTTTTAAGATGTTTGTCTTTTAACAGTGAATATGATAAGTCCAACACACGCAAAATTGGGAAAGCAAACAAGGAAATTCCATCGACATGCCCAAACATGGTAAGTGACCGGACATGAGTGACATTCAGGCTTGTTGGTTTGCTAACCTTTTCATTATTGTGATTCTTGACACAGAGCCTATGAACTCTGCATTCTGAAATGTTCCCATGCTCCACAGAATTCACTGAGGTGACGAAATTTTCCTCGGCAGCCTTGCATGTGATGAAATCAAGAATGATGTCATGAACTTGACATGCCTTCGCCTGGCCATCATTTATATCAACTGGTTCGATCAAACTTCTATTGATGAGATCATTAAAATAGTTCCCGCCAACTTCATAGGTCCTCCATCCTTGTTCTTCATGAACAAATCCTTCGGCAATCCATCTATTTATCAAGTGTTGCTTGCTGATCTTGTAATCTTCTGGAAATACACTCAAATATAAGAAACAAGTTCTTAGATGGTGGGGAAGATCAAAGTAACTGAGAGATAATATCTTTGTCATGTTAGCAGCATCAGGATTCTTAGCAAGTGCATGGCCAATAGCAGTTAGCATCCTGTCCCATTCATCTTTTGCATGCTTGCCGGCTAACAAGCTAGATACAGTAATAATTGCCAATGGTAATCCACCACACTTTGCCAGTATCTCATCACAAACTTCTTCCAAATGGGGATAGTATAATTCCTGGGAACGAAATGCTCTTTGGCAAAACAACATTTTGGAGTCAGCAAAACTAAGGGGTTCCATTTGATAGACACAAACACCACCACGTGAGCAATGCGATGCAACTGCTGCATTACGTGTTGTCATGACGATTCTGCTACCACATCTATTATTGAACAAGGCAAGTTTCACAGCTTCCCATGCTTCAACATCCCATACATCATCAATTACAACAAAGTACCTGTTCCATGATTTTAACAGGGTTATTTAGTTATATATCATTCAAGTATGCTTACCACCCTACTGCAATCAGGGTTATATACTAGTATGCATGCTTACTCTAGAGCTCAGGTCCCAGTTTTATAAATATCAATGAGGAACCTAGTTAGGGAAATGGATATGTCTTCTCAAAGCATATATATGGTCAGATTTTGCACACATAAAACCCTCCGTCCCTAAATAACTGTAGTTTTAGCTAGTCAAAGACATATTAAGGACGAGGTCAAAAGACTAATATGCCCTTCATTAAAATGGAGAGAAAACAAGGAGGGGGAGAAAACGAGGAGGAGGGAGTACTATTTGTTCAATGACTAAAATGAGAAGAAAAGGATGTAGTATTAAAGAGGTCTAGTGGACCACTATAAAACTACACTCTATTAGGGACAAATTGTTAGGCTAAAAATACACTTATTGAGGGGAGTATGTGGCAATGTATCTTAATGCATGGATTTATTGTGGACATTCAATTGTTCGGAAGTTGGAACTTTCGGTTCTACATCGTGTTGGGACTTGGGACATTATCAAAAAATGATGTGATCTTTGGCCTTCTCAGCAATTCAGTGTGGTCATGTGGCTAAGTTCAAACTTCTTAAAACAGCTTTCATTGCCTTGTTGCCAAAAAAAAAATTGATGCGATTCAAGTAAAGTATTATCGTTCCATTAGTCTTATTCAAATTTTGCTAAGTTGGTTGGCACATCGCCTAGCACCTTTGCTTCCGGGGATGGTTTCCATAAATCAAAGTGCATTCATCAAGGGAAGAAGTATACAGGACAATTGTCTGCTTGTCCAACAGGTGGCAAGAAAATTACACAGTAAGAAAGAGCCCCATGTTTTGTTTAAACTTGACATATCAAAGGCCTTTGATTCGCTTGATTGGTCCTTCCTAATTGAGGTACTAAAATACTTGGGGTTTGGAAGGTGGTATTGTAACTTGCTATGCCTACCGCTCTCCACTTCTTCCACAGGAGCTTTGATTAATAGGGAACCGGGGCAAATAACACTTCATCTTCGGAGCCTCCATCCCCATGTTTTTTTTTAGTTATGAATTTGCTGAATTTATCGTGGTTCATGCATCCACAATAATCTTCGTCGGCCCCATGCTGTTCCAAAGATGGCACATCGGATTTCTCTATACGCACAGATAATGTGGTGATTGTTATGGGCAGAACTCAGCCCCTCTCATTATTAGATAAGGTTATTAGGCTTTATTAGATAAGGTTGTTAGGAGGTTTGTTAGGCTTTATTTGATAAGGTTGTTAGGATGTTTGTTAGGAGCCGGCTCTATATAAGGAGAGGCACCACAGTCATGTGGAATTAATCAAGAAAGAAGTTAAACCTATCTCTAGTCTCCCCTCTTCTCTGTTCGGCCTCACCTAGGCTCCGGGGCAGCGAAGCTGCAGCAACCTTGCCCTCCCGTCGAGCACCCCAATTCATCCCTCCACATAACAATGATGTTCCTCTGACCTACAAGGGTGATCCTAGATTTTTTTGGCTGTATTTCAGGTCTTAAGACCAAAATGACAAGGAGTTTGTGCACCCCTATCCAATGTTCCGAGGAAGACTTGGAAGTTCTCTCCACTGAGCTTTCTTGTGAAGTGAAGAGCTTTCCTTGCTCTTATCTTGCCCTTCCGTCACAACTCGCAAACCATTAAGGATGATTTGTTGCCATTGGTTGACAAAGTGGCGGATGGCCTACCAGTGTGGAAAGCTTCCCTTATGAACCAGGCTGGCCGGCTTGTGATGGTCTGTGTGGTCTTGACAGCTATACTTATCTATTCGGTCATGGCAATGAATCTTCCCAAATGGGTGTCCAGGGCTATTGATAAAAGGCGCAAGGGCTTCCTTTGGAAGGGTCAGGAGAAGGCCAATAGTGATAACTGCCTTGTCTCCTGGGATCGTGTTTGTTGGCCTCTCTTTAAGGGGGGCTTGGCATTCATAATCTTGAGGTGGCTTAGACTTAAAAAAACTGACTCCACTAGGCCTTGTAACGTGTTACCTATACAAGTACATCGCAGTGTTCGCTCTGTGTTCAGAGTGGGTGTGGAAACTATAGTTGGCAACGGGGAAAATACCATGTACTGGAGTGATAGATGGTGGCAAGGAAGAACGATAACTGAATAGGCTCCCAATCTTTTTTTTTTAGAGAAGGGTATTTTTTTACCCGATCTCTACATCCAACTGGATATATGCAGCCTTTTTAAATTATGAACTTAGCCTATCAAACAGGGAACTTAGCCCTCAAATAACCCAATCCGAAATTCGCTCCTATAGAGATTTGAACTTAGGACCTTGGAGTGCTACTCAGATTACTGCAACCACTAGGCTACATGCCCTTTCCCAATCTTTTTTATTTAATCACCAAAAGATCAACGAAGCAACGTACTGTGGCACAAGCACTAGTAAATAGGCGGTGGGTGGCTGGTATAAAAGGTGGCTTGTCTGTCCATGTTCTCTCTAAGTATTTGCTGATCTGGGATTTGGTTGATGGGGTGGTCTTGCAGCATGGAGTTCAGGACCAGCATATTTGGAAGCTCACAGGGTCTGGTTCCCACACAAGTAAATCAGCCTACAAGTCTTATTTCCTGGGATCTATCAAGTTTGCTCCATGGAAGCGGATTTGGAAAAGCTGAGCTCCTTTATGTTGCAAGTTTTTTATTTGGTTAGCAATCAACGTCATATGTTGACTTCTGATCGACTTGCTAAGCGAGGGTTGTCACATTTTGTTGCCTGCCCAATAAGCGACCAAAGTGGTGATGACTATTTCAGCATATCCTCGTATCATGTGTTTTCTCTTGCCCCACTCCTCTTGAGGCTACGGCTGGCTGGTGCTGCACCTCAACCATCATAAACTTGATTCTCAGCATGGTGGGGCAAAGCCATCAAGGGGTATCTAGAGTTGCACAACTGATTGAACTCGTTGATCATCCTAGTTGCTTGGGAGATTTGGAAGCATCGCAACGATTGTGTTTTCAATAGTGCTAATCCAAACGTTTTTTTTTTTTGGGGGGGGGGGGGCGCGGGAGTTTGCAGGCTATAAAATAAATGAGTGTAGTTTTGCTGGAGCTTACGCACTCCATGAGTTTCACTGTAGGTTTGCTTACCCCGGGCAATTAGTTTGTGTTTGCTTGTTGAGGTTGTGTGTTGCCCTTAGGTGTTGTTAGTGTAGGCTGGTGTTAGTTTAGCCCCCTCTTTTTGTATTTATTTCCTTTCTTCTTGATGAAATGAAATGCAGTCCTGCGCTTTTGAGAAAAAAAATTGTTTGGAATGCAGATATTCCACAGGTGGTAGTTTTGTTCTAGTAGGAATGGAGAAAAATACCTTCCTTTCCAAATGCTCACATATGTGTTGCCATTTGCCATCAAGCAGTACAATTTTGCACTCTGAGAAAAGAAATCCTATTTGTAAATTTGGATTTTGTTGAAAAAAAGTCAAGCAGTACAAATTTACACACGTCTTTGTCATTTGCCATCAAGAAGTTAGTTTTTCATTAATGTTGTTATACAAAAATGGTTTAGAAAGTTTATGCAATTTACTCATGACAGTTATAGCAGTCAAGACTAGACTTCTTGTTTTTAGCATATGTATATGCAGTATGCACTTTATAAACAAAGAAAATGCATGTAGTTATGCCACTAATTATTGTTTATTGTATGCTTCCATGTTTGGTTTCTGTGCTTAACAAAATGCAGAAAATCATTAGTTGTTATAAGTGGATTACTGGGTTTACCTTTTATCTTTGAGGTGGTCCCTTATTTTGTCTATCAGTTGTCGCTCATCTTCAGATGTGTCATCAGTGATCCCTACCTCAGTATGCATTTGTCTTTAAATACTCTTTATGTCAGGACTTCGTGACACAGATACAAAACCTGTGCATTCAAATTGGCACTTCAATTGACGGAAGATTTGGTTGGCAAGAGTAGTCTTACCCAGACCTCCAGAACCCACAACGGACAACACCTTCACTTCTACATCACCTCTCCCCTTGGCAAACCACTCCATGACATGCTCCTTTGGTCCTTTGATTCCCACAAGCTCATCAACCTCAACGTAGAGTGCTCGCAGCCTAGGGTCAATACCAGAAGTGCCATGGCTGGATTGTAGACCAACAAAATTATATCTCTTGTGCCTCTTGCTTGCCTCTATCACGCGTGTCTTCAGTTCTTCAATCTCATTAGAGATCTCATGGCGAGCCTTCATCTTCTTCAGTTTGTAGGAGAACCCCTTAAAGAATGTTGATTGTTCATCTTGCTTCTGATCAACAAGAACCAAGAAGGGATCAATACAGTCCTCGATATCATAAGCCAGCTCACGCACTGTGTCCCTCCATTCCTTCTGGAGGGGATCAAGTTCCTCTACAGTTTCAAGCATCTCCAAGGCAGCCTTCATGCTGCTCAACTCATTTCTAAAGAATGCGATTTGACGGCGTACTCCTTTGAGCTTTGTGTATTTGTCCTCCAAAATCTTGGAGAGCTTGGACAGGAGGGTGTTCATTACTCCTGTAGAAACACCCACAAGCATCGTCGCCATTACTCTCTTATGTCTGAGCTCAGCTCTCAGTCGGATGAAGTAGTTTGATGGTACTAGTCGTAATAGTAGGAAGCTACTTGTAATTGTTCAGGATCTGAGGAAATGCATTGTGTTCATATGCCTATATGGTATTTGCAAGGAAGATGATGCACCTAGTCCACTCGGTCAAGTCAACTAGAGTTTTCTGGCCACACAATTGTTATCCTAAACCTTGTTTTCTGGCCACACAATTATTATCCTAAACCTCACTCTTGTTATTATTATTTTCAGTTATAATATTCTCCATCTTAAAAAAACATGAATATTAGAGAATAAACTAATATCAATTGTTATCCTAAACCGCGAATATTAGTGAATTGTTATCCTAAACCTCAGTGAATAGTGTTTTCTGGCCGCACAATTATTATCCTAAACCTCAGTATTGCTATTATTAGTTTCAGTTATAATATTCTCCATCTTAAAAAAACACGAATATTGGAGAATAAACTAATATCAAATAAATAAAAGGGGTGAGATTTCGAACCTAGACCAACTAGCACACCACTTTGTGGAGCTAGCGTTTTTCATAGTCTCCATCTTTCCTTCACTTGGAAAGTTTCCATGTTGAGCGGCGGCACGCCTGCACAAGAAATCAAGGAAATCCATCTGATCTGCAACAATTTGGGGGTAATTTGCAAGAAATCACTGGAATAGGAGGCAAAAGAAGGAAGGATCGCCGCATGCCTATGCTCGTCGGCGCAAAGCCGTTGCTCCCCGACCAGTCCCACGATGAGTGCGACTAGTGCGAGCGAGGCCGATCCGCCGATGCCGAGCGCAGCAGCTTGCCTGATCCCCTTGGACGCGCACCCGCCGGCGGGCCGCCGCGGGCGACGCCGCACGCGGCACTCCGCCTCCGGATCTGGCGGGGGGCGGTGCTCGCTTCGTCCCCGCCTCCGGTCCTTTGGACCTCCGCCGCGCATGCACTCGCGAGCTGCCGCGGGACGACGCCACAATCGAGGGAGGATAGGGGAGACCGGCGGGGGAGGAAGAGGAAGAGAAGCTGCATTGCCGCCGCTACCTCTAGCGGGCATGGGGTCACCGGACTTGCGTCTCCGCCGTCGTTTGCGAGCTCGCCGGCCGCTGCCATCACCGGGAAAGTATGCCACCGGCTTTGAGCCAGGTGGAGGCCTGGAGGGGAAGGGTGAAAGGGAGAAAAAGGGCTTGTTTAGTTGGGGAAAAGAAAATTTTTGAACGTCACATCAGACGTTTGATCGGACACGAATGAAAAAACTAATTTTAGAACTCGCCCGAAAACCGCGAGACAAATCTTTTGAGCCTAATTAAGCCGTCATTAGCACATATGGGTTACTGTAGCACTTATGGCTAATCATGGACTAATTAGGCTCAAAAGATTCGTCTCGCGATTTCCCACATAATTGTGTGATTAATTTTTCTTTTTATCTATATACAATACTCCATGCAAGCGCCCAAAGATTCAATGTGATGTTTTTGAAAAAAACTTTTTGGGAACTAAACATACCCAAAGTGAAAAACCCTCTGGCTGGTGGGTTTTTGGGTTTTTGTTGGGCTTTTTTGAATTTTGTAAGTCAAATGTTTCTCAATTCCTTGATCCGTGAGAGGATTTGCTGTCATTTTGAAACTAAAGCCATAATTTGGAACGTGAGAATTCGGCAGCTTGAGAACTGCATTGTCTTACATACTACATTTATCCCAAAATATAGTAACTTTTGGCTACGAATTTAGATATACAGTCGTTCATATTTATACTTAGAAATGCTTATATTTTAAGACTGAGAAATACTGTTTTAATTGATGCAAAACCAACACGTTTGAGACATGCTCCCTCTGCCTCAAAATAAACAAACCAACACAGTGTAATAAACAACTATCTAGATTTATTGTATTAAACAGGCAGTAAGAATTTGACAAGAGCTGAACATCCTCTGCGGATTTCATGGTAGATATCCAACCGTGAAAAAGTATGTTTATGAACAGGACGTTTTATGTCGAGAAGCTACGTAACATATGCACCATAAAAATATACGAACAAGACGAACCATTTGGTGTTCTCAAGAAAAAGACGAGCCATTTGGAGTTGCTGCACCCATGGCCGGAGCAAGTGAAGAAATTGGAAAATAGTTGAATTCAAACGGATTTATAAGTGCTAAATGGATGAACATATAAAAAAACGAAAAGTTATGCTTAAGTAATGTGGATAATAAAGTAAGTCACAAATAAAATAAATAATAATTTTAAAAAAATTAAATAAGACGAGTGGTCAAACGTTACAAGCGAAAACTCAAAATCCCTTATATTATGAGACGGAGGGAGTACATAGCTAGCCTTCAAGTCATCTTTCGTGATGGACACGGCGAAGGAAACAAGATTGCACAATCGACCCAATAAAAAGAAATAAGCAATTTCTACCAAAGATTTCATCTGTATGCAGAAGGTACATTTGATTCAGAACTGGGTATCATTTACAGTAAACACATCATAATCAAATGTCCAAATAGAGTATACCAGTGAGGCCAACTGCATCATCTGAAAGTTCTGAACCTTTCCCAGAGGAGGCCAAAGTAATAATACCATGGTTTTTCCTTACATTTGGTACAAAATAGTTAGATGTCACCAGTCAGTACAATTTTCACAGGTCCAGCAAACAGCCGCAGCAACCTCACTCCTAGCTGCTACCTTGTGAGCTTTAACATACTGGGATCTTGTTGCAACTTGCAAGCTTCAGGACAATAGTTCCTTGGGCTCCTGCTGTTTTCGGGTCACCGATATCCAAGGCGGCACATCAAGGAGCAAATCAAGCAATATACATCAAAACATAGTTGTAGCTGGCTACATTGGGCCAATTGGTTGGTATGAACAAATGGCGATTCGACTAGGATGGCTGATAAAAATCACTCTTCCGACGGACAAGAATTAGCAGCAAACTACCAGTGCGCTGTCATCACCTCGGCCCTGATAGCTCAACCGCATGAAGGTTGTCCGTCGAGTCGACAATCCACTCTGAGTTCCGATGAGGGCCAAGCTCTACCTCCTGCCGTACTACTTCTATCTTCTGCCACTCCTCCCATCTCTCGGCAAGGCCATCACCTTCAAGCATCCTCACAACCTCCGCCATCTTGGGGCGTTCTGTGGGGGAGCCTTGTGTGCAAAGAAGAGCAACCTGGATTAGTGATTCTACCTCAACATCAATGTAGTTGCTCTGTAAATCTGGATCAACCAACATCTCCAGCCTTTTCTCCTTGAGTAATCCTTTTACCTGCACAAAGCACAGCACATGAATATTGGCTTACCATATAACAGTGTATTTCTCAGACGATGATGTTCAATCCTATGCTTAGCTTAGCTAATGCCATAATGATTAAAAAAAGGACTACTTTTAAGACCTTACTGTAACTACTATTTTTTATATGATACGATTTTGGACATACATAAAAGTAATTTTATCTAACTCCCAACACAACATCAAGCCACAAAAGGGCATGAATATGGACTGCAATTTGAATTGAAGATTGTGCTAGTCAATTACCCAGTCCAGTAGCATGACATCATCATCATTGGCTAGACGAGCAAGGTCAAAGGCACGTTGTCCTGTTATAAGCTCCAAAAGCATAATCCCATAACCAAATACATCAGTTTTCTCAGATGATTTTCCTGTTGAAAGATATTCTGGTGCAATATGCCCAATTGTTCCACGAACTGCAGTTGTTACATGGGTATCCTTGTAATCCATTAGTTTGGCCAAACCAAAGTCCCCTACTACAGCTTCAAAGTCTTCATCTAATAAAATATTTGCAGCTTTGACATCACGATGGATAATCTTTGGGTCACAATGATCATGTAAATAGGACAGCCCCCTGGCGGAACCCAACGCAATCCTTCTTCTTGTTCGCCAATCAAGTGGAGGTTCCGATGGTGGCCGTTCTATAATATAAAACCCAAATCAACCCTCCAATTATCTGAAAGATACAGGGATGTCAGATTGGAAAAAAAAAAGGCAACGTACCTCTAAGACGTGACGCAACGCTTCCATTAGCCATGTATGGATACACAAGCAACCTTTCTGTGGGTGTCATACAGAACCCTCGTAAACGCAGCAGATTTCTATGTACAGCCATGCTAATCATCTCAACTTCTGTTTGAAACTGTAGTTCCCCACCAGGTGTTCTCTCCTCCTTTAGTCTCTTAACAGCTACTAAAGAACCATCTGCTAATCTTCCTTTATAGACCTTGCCAAACCCACCTCTTCCGAGAATGTTTTTATTGCTGAAGGTATCTGTTGCAACTTGTAGTTCTCGTAGTGAAAATCTTTTAAGCTGGCCAAGATGGACCTCTGGATCCTCCTCAGCTGTAACAAATAATGAATCTCAATCAAAGTTGGCTCAATATTATTCTCCAAGTTCGCTTGTTCTATTGGACGCTTACCAGGCACATCAAAGAAATGCTCTTGGGGTTTCCTGCGCCGATACCATGCAAAACCAATAGCAGGAATAGCAAATAGCAAGGCTGCTCCAGCAGCCACTCCACCAGCAATTGCTCCAGTACTAGATGAACTCCCTATAGAACATGAGGTTATTATTGTCAGAACAACAACAATATGTTCCATAGTCCATACCAGCATAAGTACCACGCGTCAGTGCAACAAAAAAAAATCATAGTGTTGGCTGTTGCACAGCTGTGAATATGAACAGATCTCACCTGGTGACTGCACAGGAGTTGGAGGATTATATGGAGGAGGTGGGGAAAAGGGGGGAGCACCAGGGCAAGGTTTTGTGGTCCCAGGACCACACAAGGAAGGGTTGTTGGCAAAACTGCAAAAGACAGGCAAGTGTAAATAGCAGCAGTGTATTGGAAAAGAGCAGTGAACTGCAATCATTATTAAATCTAGTTTTACCTGATAGGGGTGAATAATGAAAAGGAACCAGTTGATGGAACTTCTCCAGACAAATTGTTGTTTGAAAGATCTCTTTAATTAAATAGAAAACATTGACCATGGGTTATTTACTAATTAAACCACAGAACAAAAAACAAAGACTACACTGAAAAGAAAGGATTAAACAAGTGTATAATAAAGGGGGGGGGGATAACTTACAGAACTTGTAGGGCAGTGATAGCAGTTAGTGATTTAGGAATTGAACCCGAAAGGCTGTTATTGTTAAGACGCCTATCCTCGCAGAAATACAAAATAAGTCACCAAATTAGTAACATTGACAGAAAATGACAGAGAATAAATATAATGCAGAGACTCTAGAAAACTACTTCGAAAATCAAGAGGCATAGGAGATGCCCTAAAACATCAGAAAAGGAGTGAGAAAGTAGCAAAAGCTATCCATCATCTCATAAACAGCAGTCTGGAAATATAATTGCAATGTACTAATGCACAACCAAGTTGAATGAAAAGGTCAGACCAGGAAAACAAATCGAACCAAATCATTTTGTTGTAGTACACATGGCAA